CACTGTACTCACACTGTCACTGTACACACTCTCACTGTACACACACTGTCACTGTACACACTCTCACTGTACACACTGTCACTGTTCACACACTCACTGTACACACTGTCACTGTTCATACTCTCACTGTTCACACTCTCACTGTACACACTGTCACTGTTCATACTCTCACTGTTCACACTCTCACTGTTCACACTCTCACTGTTCACACACTGTCACTGTACACACTGTCACTGTACACACTCTCACTGTACACACACTGTCACTGTACACACACTCACTGTTCACACTCTCACTGTTCACACTGTCACTGTTCACACTCACTGTACACACACTGTCACTGTACACACTGTCACTGTTCACACACTGTCACTGTCCACACTGTCACTGTACACACTGTCACTGTTCACACACTGTCACTGTCCACACTGTCACTGTACACACTCTCACTGTACACACTGTCACTGTTCACACTCTCACTGTTCACACACTGTCACTGTACACACTCTCACTGTTCACACACTCACTGTACACACACTCACTGTACACACTGTCACTGTTCACACACTGTCATTGTTCACACTCTCACTGTACACACTGTCACTGTTCATACTCTCACTGTTCACACTCTCACTGTTCACACACTGTCACTGTACACACTCTCACTGTACTCATACTGTCACTGTTCACACTCACTGTACTCACACTGTCACTGTACACACACTGTCACTGTTAACACTTTCACTGTTCACACACTGTCACTGTTCACACTCTCACTGTTCACACACTCACTGTACACACTGTCACTGTACACACTCACTGTACACACACTGTCACTGTTCACACACTGTCACTGTTCACACACTCACTGTTCACACTCTCACTGTTCACACTCTCACTGTACACACACACTCACTGTACACACTGTCACTGTACACACTCTCACTGTTCACACACTCACTGTACACACTGTCACTGTTCACACTGTCACTGTTCACACTCTCACACTCACTGTACACACTGTCACTGTTCACACACTTTCACTGTACACACTGACTGTTCACACTCTCACTGTACACACACTCACTGTTCACACTCACTGTTCATACTCTCACTGTTCACACACTCACTGTACACACACTCACTGTTCACACACTCACTGTACACACTCTCACTGTTCACACTCTCACTGTTCACACTCTCACTGTTCACACACTGTCACTGTTCAAACTCTCTCTGTACTCACACTGTCACTGTTCACACACTGTCACTGTTCACACACTCACTGTACACACTGTCACTGTTCACACTCTCACTGTTCACACACTCACTGTACACACTGTCACTGTTCACACTCTCACTGTACTCATACTGTCACTGTACACACTCTCACTGTACTCATACTGTCACTGTTCACACACTGTCACTGTTAACACTTTCACTGTACACACACTGTCACTGTTCACACACTCTCACTGTACACACACTCTCACTGTACACACTGCTACAACACATTGTCACTGAAACTGTAACAGTGTGAAACTGTAACTTGCCTGTTTCCGTAACGCCCAGTGTCTTTGTCTCAGGGGCGGCTGCAGCAGGTGCAGGTCTGTCTGGAGGAGGTGGAGAAGAAGTTGGTGGAGGCGAAGCAGGAGGTCAACACACACAAGCTGGAGACAACAGGCAGCCCAGCCAGCGGTACCCCAGCCAGGACAGAGACTGACACACTCAGGGCTCAGAATGACACAGAAATAGGACAGACTGACACAACAACAGTGCACAGACTGAGACAGATGGTGCATAGACACAGGATACAGTCAGAGACACAGGGTACAGACTGAGAAAGAGGGTGCAGACAGAGACACAGGGCACAGACTGACACACACACAGGGCACAGACTGACACACACAGGGCACAGGCTGTGTTGCTGCTGACCTTTGCCCTTTGCCCTGTGACCCAGAGAGCGAGTGGCAGCTGCGGTATGACTGCGCGCAGACGGAGATCGAGTTCCTGCGCAAGCGGCTGCGGCAGAGCGAGGAGCGCCTGGAGAGCGAGCTGGGGGCGCGGCGGCAGCTGGAGGCGAAGGTACAGTACCCCCGACTCCCCGACACCCTGGAGCCCCGACTCCCCAGAGCCCCGACTCTCTGGAGCCCCAGCGCCTGTGCTGCACCGACACTGAGACACTTTCTCTCTGCTCTCTGTGCCCCCTGCTGCCCAGCTGGCTGACCTCCAGACCCAGTGTGAGGAGTCGAAGCGCAGTGCAGCCACCCTGCGACGGAGGTGTCGGCACGTGACCTCTGACCTCCAGGACGCCCGTGTGCTGATTGACAGCCTGCAGACACGCAGTCACGAGCTGGAGAGAAAACAGAGGAGGTCAGCTGTGTCTCCTCTCACTCCTCTCACTGCTACTGTCCAATGTTTCAGATACTGTGTTTTCATTGACTTTCTATAACATGTGCAGGTTCGATGCAGAACTGGCCCAGGCACTGGAGGAGGCAGCTAACGAGAGGACCCTGCAGGAGAGGGGCACTTTGGAGACCACAGCCCTGCAGGGGGAGCTCTTTACCACACAGCACAGCCTCCAGGTGAGTTACCTCTCTTAGCACTGTGCGCTGTGTCAGGACAGTCAGTTAGCTCTCTCTGCACTGTGCGCTGTGTCAGGACAGTCAGTCAGCTCTCTTTACATTGTGTCAGGAGTCACAGGCAGCAGTGAGTCGTTTGGAAAAGGAGAAGATGGAGCTCAGTGCCCGGATTGCAGACCTCTCCTCCCCACAAACCCTATCGCCTGACTCGGCTGCCACTCTGAAGAGACAGCTGAGGGAGCTGGAGACTTGCAACACCGAGCTGGAGCTGGAGATCAGCCGACACAAGACAACCATCCAGCAGCAGGAGCAGGT